AAACATGCAAATTTGTTTTTGTACGTTTAGTTAATACCCGTTCTTTACAGCAACCTTATGAAGGGCCATATAAGGTTATTGAAAAAAATAAGAAGTATTTTCAAATAGAAATTGATAATGAAATCAAAACTATTCCGATTGACAGGTTAAAACCAGCGATGATTGAAACTTTACCAGAATTTAACACTAATTATCACAACAATATTGGAACAAAAAAGAAAGTCACATTTAACTTATTTAACGTAAATTCTCTGGAAGGGGGAGTAATGTAGGGTTCTTATCATTTAATATTTTATCCAATGTACTTGACTTTATAATACTTTAAATTTTTAGATTTAAGATTGTTGTGAAATATGATAATTTTCTTTTTCAATTTTGAAGTTGAATGTTAAAAATTGTTCATTAACATTTTGCTTGTTGACGAATTAACTGGTTTATTGGGAATATTAAAGAAATAATTAAAACAAATCCCAGAAGAGAATTTTATTTGAAATAAGGACAACTATAGTATCTATATTTTATAACTATATGCTTCGTTGCAGAAACATCTTTACTGACTCAAAATATATTGTAATAATTCAAGTTGTGGTTAAAAATTCAAGAGTTGAAAACCGCAGTAGAAAAATCAATTTCGCTAAAAAGTGTAGTAGATTTACTGCCATTGCAGTAAGTTCCGAATGCTGACCGACATACTACGTTCACTTTGTGGAATGCATGTATGTATGTACATTGGTACAATTGTCAGAAACCATTCACGGCGAATTTATAAAATGGAAAACCGTATACATACATACAAGGTGAAATGATATTTCTTCATTGAAAAAAAAGAAAATAAATGTCAGAATGAATTCAATGGAAATCCGTATACATACACGGCGAATTCATATTTCATTTCAATTATATTTTTCTGGCACGCGGCGGTTGTGTAATCTTAAGGTTAGGTGAGTATGCGTAAAATATCGTATTATAGCTATGTTTGAATGTAATTTTTTTTCTTAATTACAGGATGTTGCTTGGCATAATTTCTGCTGGTGTTACTTTCCAGCAAATAAGCCCAAAAATCGAAAAGTCTGCGCACCATCCAGCTGATGAAAAATTTTATGGGAAAGAAAGTTGCAAAGTATAATTTGTGTAGCGAGTGCATTCTACTGCGTTTCATACATTTCACAAGTTGTGGAAAAATACCCTTCCGCACATCAGCCATGTTCAGCTTGTGTTTGTCACTATATCTTTGCCTCATAGTCGCTGTTTATATCTGGTTTCGTCAGCATTTTCGTTATTGGCAAGTGCGTGGGCTACCCCAAATCCCGCCCACACTGATCGCTGGCAATGTCTTCGATCAGCTACGTTACCGCTGCTGCTTTGGCGAACAATTCCAGTCGCTCTACGATCATCCGGCCGCCAGCGGTCATGACTTTGTGGGAATACATGTGCTGCATAACCATGCGCTGAAGTTGCGTGACCCTGCGCTCATCAAACGTGTGCTCGTGAGGGACTTTAGTGCATTTTCCAGCCGCTTCGAACGCACTGACGCCGGTGGTGATGCGATGGGTTCGCTGAATTTGTTTTTTGCGCAATACGAAGTATGGACGGAGATACATCAGATATTTTCACCACTATTTTCTCACGGGAGGGCGAAGCAAATGTATCCGCTGCTGCAATAGGTAGGCAACAAGCTGGAGGAACACATGGCCGCTTGAGCCACGAAGAAGTCACGCTTCTGCACCACACTTTCATTCGAGCTGCCAGCTGCTTCTCGCTTCAGCGCTGCTGCTGGCCGGCTTCGACACCTCCTCTTCGACAATCACCTTTGCGTTTTACGAGTTGGCCAAGCAACCGGAGATACAGGGTCGTTTGCGCGCCGAATTGTTGGAAGCGCTAACAAAAGGCAATGGCTCGGTTGACTATGACACCATCAATGCACTGCCGTATCTGCGCATGATTGTCGATGAAGTTTTGCGTCTGTATCCGCCTACCTCCTTTCTCGATCGACGCTGCACCGCCGAATTGGGTTACGAAGTAGATCATCACAGTAGATGATATCGTTTTTTGTATTGGGTGGTCCCGGTGCTGGTAAAGGGACACAATGCTCCAAAATTGTAGAACGTTACCAATTTGTACATCTCTCTGCGGGCGATTTGTTACGGGAGGAACGTGCATGCCAGGGTTCTGAATATGGTACGCTAATTGAAGACTACATACGCAATGGTAAAATTGTACCCGTTGAAATGACCTGCTCGCTGCTCGAGAAAGCGATGCAGAACTTTGGCCAACAAAAATTCCTTATTGATGGTTTCCCACGCAATCAAGATAATTTCGATGGTTGGACACGACAGATGGGAGATAAAGTAGGTTTCCAATATTTAAGTAATATAATAATAGATTGGCGCTTACACATATGTTAGTGTTTGGCCGAGCTTCTCCTCCGATTTGTGGTGTGCGCCTTGATGTTGTCACACAAAGCGGAGGGACCTACAGTTTTACGCCGACTCCGAACGGCGATTGTATTTTTATGAGAAGCTGTTTTTCATGGCAGAAATACACTCGGAGGTTTGCCATTGCCTGCCGAGGGACGACCGCTGTTAAGAAAAAACCTTTTTTCTATATTTTTTGCGACGTTGCTTTGACCAGGGTTTGAACCCAGGCGTTGCGGAGTGGAAGCGCGCACTGCTTACCACTACACCACAGCGGCCGACAATATTTAAGTATTTCACACAAAAAAAGAGTTAAGTGTGTGGCTACAATGTTAACTATCTGTGTATTTGTTGACCATGTTTAAATTTAATATATATATTCATTCGTTGGTGGTTCAGTTATGGTGTCAGTACGTTCAGGTCAATTTGAGGGCAATTTTAAAATGAAATGTATGAAATTTAGCTTATGGCACGCAAACCAATTTCATGAAAAGTAAATCTGAGGCAAGCTGTTTTGCAGGACAAAGAACGAAATATGGAAGAATTATTGAAAATAGTTGAAGCTAGTCATGAATTTTGCGATGAGCTACATCAGTTGAAAGAGAAATTCATAAAGCGGTTATCCGACTTAAATGAAAGCTATACAGCCGAATCTGTCCCTGAAAAAACTNCATGAATTTGGCGATGAGCTACATCAGTTGAAAGAGAAATTCATAAAGCGGTTATCCGACTTAAATGAAAGCTATACAGCCGAATCTGTCCCTGAAAAAACTTCGCCGTCTCGCATTTCGGCACGTACTAGTAACTCTAAACTTCTGGCCACGGTTGTAGCCATGGAAGCGGCAATTGACGATGCCATTGTGCAAACTCCACAAATGAATCCCCCGCCAGTCCCAAGTAGCGCCAAAGTTCCGAATACGGAGCCAACTGAGGTCCAATTAATGCCTCCACCGCCGGCGCCTCTTGCGCCTGCACCGAATGATATATTGCAATCCAGTTGCATTGAAACTTCATTTGTAAGGCCACAACGTGCTGCCAAATTGAAATCAGAGAAGAACTTAAAGGGACCGAGACTTAACAATACATTACGTCGACCGAGCAGTTGCGATACCAGTAGGGTGAAGTTAGAGCATGAACAATACCCTTCACAAATGCATCAAGTTGATGAAGCATCAGCAACTAACAGGGATAGTACCAAGTCTACTGCGAGCGTCAGATCTGAAGATGGGGTGGTGGCCATACCAAGTAAAGCTCCATCCGTTTGTTTTTTACCTTTGTTAACTTTTTATTTGAGCCCTAATTGTTTTGTGTTTTTATAAAGGGCTGCTGCAATAAGGAGAACACGCGGATGAAAGGTATGACATCTAAAATTCTGAAGCGTCTATTAGAGAAAGCAGACCACGATTTCGTCTATCAACAAACGCACCGGAAGCAAATAATCGTGAGTTTAAACCTTATAATTATTATTACTTTAACTAGTTCATTTCGGGGTGGGGCTGTTCAAAGTCTGTACTCCGTTTATGTAATCTCCCCAAAATAAAGCGGATTGAAAACCAGCAAGCTTGAATTTTGATGAATTTGGGAAAAAAAACATATCGTGCATTTGTTAAACTTGCTAGTTTTCTACTGTTTGCTTCTTATTCAGAGGCGGAGTAGTTCGCTACTCTGCGATTTATTCTATTATGATTATAGATCTGACGATGGTCGTTTGTTTTTAACCAGATCAACTCGGGAGGGGCCCGAGTAAGAACCATCACCTCCAAATATTAAAAATAATTCCCTTGTAACCTTTTTAACTATTAACACATGGAATCACTCCTATTACATTGAAGTGGAGTTTCGTTGTAACAGGAAGTGGAATACGATATGGGTGAAGATGGGCGATTTATGACGTAGTTGTTGGCTCCGAGTTTCCCTCGCTGTATGGTGGGAGGAGAACCAACTTCACTAGTGGTCTGGTAACTTGACCTTTCTTCGTCAGTATGTCCACTACGCGCACCCTACCATCGGTACCCGGGTGTAAGTTGACAACTCGCCCCAATCTCCATTCAGTTGGAGGCAGATTGTCTTCCCTTATAACAACGAGATCACCTGTTTTCATATTCTCCTTGGGGTGCTTCCATTTAATTCGCTTTTGTAGTTCGGCTAAGTACTCCACTTTCCATCGCCTGCAAAACGTCTGATGCAGTGCTTTTAGTTTTTGCCATCGATTGACGATGGAGGCAGGGTTCTCATTCACATCAGGTTCTGGCGGAGCCATAAGATGTCCACCAGTTAGAAAATGGCCTGGAGTAAGCGGCTTCAGATCATTTGGCTCATTTGAAGGGGGGCTCAGTGGTCGCGAATTAAGGCATGCCTCAATCCGGCATAAAAGCGTACTGAGCTCTTCAAAGGTGTATTTGTGAGCGGACGCCACCTTTTTAAAGTGGCTTTTAAAGCTCTTTACACCTGCCTCCCAGAGTCCTCCCATGTGAGGAGCGGCAGCAGGTATAAAATGCCACTCAAATGTTTGATGGTTATATTTGGAAATCGTTTTGTCTCGCGCGTCAGACAAAAAAGCTTTGAATTCAGATCGTAAAGATCGCGAAGCTCCGAAAAAATTTGTACCATTGTCGGAATAGATATTCTTCGTGCATCCTCTTCTAGCCACGAACCGAGGAAATGCTGCTAGAAAGGATGGGGTACTAAGGTCACTGGTGGCTTCAAAGTGAATCGCTTTAGTGGTGAAACAAACAAATAGGCAAACATAGCCTTTGGAAATTCGACAACCTCTACCATGGTAACTTTTAATTTCAAAGGGTCCCGTGAAGTCTACTCCTGTATTCGTGAACGCGCGCGTAAATGTTGTGCGTTCCTGAGGAAGAGTTCCCATAATTTGCGTCTGAGATCGTTTCTTGTAGATGGTACAAATTTTACAATTGTGGATGGTAGACCTAATCATGTTTTTTACCCTGGGAATCCAGTACTGGGTACGGATAAGGCGTAACATGAGCTGATTTTCTCCGTGTAAGGAGACTTGGTGAATCATCAGGACGATAAGACGGGACAATCTGCAGTTATACGGAATAATGATTGGATGGCGCTCATTATAAGCTAAGTCCTGGGATGCTCCGAGGCGACCTCCAGCCCTGATGATGTCGTG